TTTGGATGGTGAGCCTTCATAATGCAGATATACTGGAGCTCCACAACTTCAACCATTTAATGACAGCCCTGAGACCGAGATTTGAGGACTCCCTAGCCGATCATAAGGCTAGAGACCACATAAAGCACATCAGACAGGGACGACGTGCAGTTTCAAGAGTCCTGCTTTCTTGGGAAGATTGGAGAGGGAAGACCTTACAGCCTTGCACCACCTCCTTCAGATCAGCCTTGGTTATCTCGGTGTCATCCTTTATAGCATGAGTGTCAAACTTCTGGCATCACGTTGCCATCATGTGAGATTTTGCAATGTTTCTTCCTTTCACGGAGTTGGGGTGGGTGTTGCCTGCACATGATGCATTCAGCATGCAGGCCACCAGTTTAACACTCTTGCTTTATAGTGTCCAGCCAGCAGGTACTAGAATGGTCCCTTATCAGGGGTGAAATTTGACTGGTTCGGACTGGATCATGCGTACCGGTAGCGGCGATTTTAAATGGTTTGTCGAACCGGTAAAAACAACCCCTGGTTGGGCCTGCCCCTGTCCGGGCGCTTGCCTGCCTTTGCAAGCTGGCCACGGGGACTACTAGGAAGGCCTCATGGTAGGTAGTCAAGCAAGCATGTTGGGGAAGGGAGCTAGCAGCCTACTCACTTCCATGAGTGATGAGCCAGCACTTTTTCATGCAAAGCCTTGTGAAAGGCCAGCAGCTTCTAATGGGAACTGCAGCGTCTGCACTGCACTTCCTCCAGTTCTGTTACCGTAAATAGCGCCTCCTACACGTATTCCACCTTCACCCGGAAGCCACTGCCACCTCTTCAGCCTTGTCTGGTGATGGAGAGCACTTCATCTCACCATCTCATCTTGCTTCTTTATCCCTGGCTGAGAGCTCCCTTGTAAATGAAGTTCCACCAACCTGACGCACTTGCTATGTGCATCCCAGAACTAGACCCTCACCCACCTTCTGGATCCCAGGCAACAGGAGGAGGAAGAAGATGGCAAAGGACAGATGGGGAGTGGTGGGGCAGTAGCAGAGATACATGATGAAGTGCAGAGTGGCCAAAAGGCAGAGATGTGGGGGAAATAGGTGGGATGAATTGAAGAGCCCCTGCAGTCATAAACGTGGGTAGACTGCCAAGTGCTTGAATTGGGTAATGTGACACTTAAGTGGCCAGAATGTCAAGGACCAACTACCATTTGGGTAGCACCAGTGTAACTTTGAATGGTCATTAATCAGGGATTATATATAATATAGAAATGATAATCGTTAAAACTGTCAAACCTTTCATAATTTGCTATTACAAGAAATACAATGGTTAGCAATCTTTAATATTAATCTCATTGCTGTGATAGGTGAGCAATACGTAACTTTACTTTGCATAGGACATAAAAGAGAGTAAGGATGTATTTTCTCTGCATGAAGAAGTGGGGCTTTTATTTATGTAGACAAAATGATTGTTCCCTGCATTTCCTGTATGGAGAATATTTTCCATGCAGGATCAAAACAGAGAAAATTGCTTTCCAAGGAGCTTGATGCCCTGTGATGCAGAAACTGGGACTCTATAGTTCAGCAACATTTAGAAGTCCATGGGATAGCAGAGAAAAAATTTACACCCCAGGTAATTGCCTCAGATTGAAGTGTTTTATAAAGTATTTTGAGACCTTTGGTGCATAAGGAGGTCAATTTTTGGAAGGATTTCCAGTTTGGCGTCATGGCGAGACGGTTGAGGAAAGCGGGGCTCTGTGAATCCTGGCTGATTCTTCTTCGCTACGAAGCCCTAAGGGGCTAAAGTTACCTTGGAGAGGTGACAAAGAGGGGAGGGACCCCTTGCTGATCACGGGAGAGCGACAGCTCTCCCACTGGATCTGAGGCACCCTCCCGACTAATGAAGAAGAGAGATTGCCATTATGGCCAGACCGAAGCTGGGGCAACCAAAAAAGAAGAACTAATGAGCTATTCATGAACAGAGCATTGGAACTGGGTGAGAGTATTTTCAACTTCTACGTTAGAGACCTATCTCCAAATAAAATATTTTTTTTTGAAAGAAAGATTCTCCAAAGCGTAGAAAAAGTGGCAAGTTAATACGTGGAGATCGATTACAGACCTAAAAGAGAAATGAAACTTTAATGGGAGATGATTAAACTTTAAAATACAGAAAGATTGATCTGGAACTGATAATATTGTGGAAAGTAACTTTAGATAATATCTTTTGACTAGTATGAAGAAAATAACTTTTTGGATTATTTGACAATCAGCTGTTTTACTTCAATGCAGGAAGTTAGAGCTTGAGTGACACCTACTGGTGAAAAAAGATATTATACTATTACAAAGTTGGAAAAGACCTTGAAAGGAAGCCAGGACTGATAAGAAGAAGGGAAATAAAGTGAAGAAAGGTAAACAACACCTGGAAGACGGTTTTCTTGTTATTTGGGAATAGGCAATGTTTTCTTTTTGAAACTTGCTGAACTTGGTGGATTATGAATACTGCTGGCTTTGAGAAACGGTTTGGAGACTGAGTGAACTGGTCTTTTCCTTTTTACTTCTGACTTACAAATACCTTGGATAGAGTGGATCGGTGGAATAGCTTGGAACTGTTTAGAGACTATTATAAATACAGACAGATGACAAGGACATAATTGTTGATCTTAAAGAAGTCTTTCTCAACATCCCCAATAGACTGACTCTGTGGATTACAAATATAATTGGCCTAGTGATTGAGGGAATTGTGGGAGTGCATAAGAGGGAACTGTGGGAGTGTTTAAAGGCAACAAGGTACTATAAATTAGGGTACTATAAGATCGTAAGATTATAAAGGAAAAATGGCAAGCGCTCCAAATTTAACTAAAATTGGGAAAAAAGCATCATTCACATCAACATTAGCAACCTCCAGGCCACTAAAGCAAAGACCAATAGATACAATGTCACAACAGGGAAAAACAAATCCATTTCAAAAAGAAATACAATTGATGCTTCAATCTATCCAGGAAGTTATGACAAAGAATTACAACGACACGAAAAAGGACCTGGGAGAGATAAAGAAACAGATGCACAATATGGTTGTGCGATTAGGAAACATTCAGCAAATGACAATGAAAGATGAACAAAGAACCCAGAGAATAGAAGAGAAATCAGAAGGAGCAGAGGAAAAAATAGAGGAGATATAAATCAACAAATGACACAAGCAGATAAAGATTTGGAAAGGATAGTAATAATTCCTGAAATGGAGAAGGTAGCCCACTTTTTAAGATATCAAAATATAGAAGAGGACAGAGAGGAAGTGGTGGTGTTGCTGGTGGGTACCCTAGAAATTGGAACGCATAAGATAGATGTATAGGCAGATGAAATATTTAGACTAAATATGAGTGATGCAAGGAGACATAAGTTCTCATGGGAGGAGCATGTGAGATTCGTTAAAAAGTCAATTAGTCAAAATACTAAAAAGGGCAAGAGATGATGGATAGATACGGAAAACTTTTTAATATGGGATTTGTTTTATTAAAGGTTAGAAAATAGAGGTAGAAATTAGAAATTGGGAAAATACTATTATGTATATTGTCACACAATATAATTTATTATTACTATGTATACATATATATTAGAAGTTGAAAGATTATTACTATATATTGTATATGTTATTATTGTTGTTATTTAAATTGACCCAGACAATACACTGTTCACTAAGCACCTAAGAAAAAAGTATAAATAAAATATATATTTAAAAAAGGAGGTCAATTTTTGGACTTCTTGGGTGAGTTAATATTGGAACATCTATAGCATTTTTCAAGTACATTGTTTAATTAGTTCAGCTTGCAAAACATATTTTGGATATTAGGAATCTTGCCATTAAATTTCCTGTGTGTACATATAATTCCATGGCTTACCGATTGTCTACAGCCGTGATGGCGAACCTATGGCACGCGTGCCACAGGTGGCACGCGGAGCCCCCTCTGCGGGCATGTGAGCTGTCACCCAGCTCAGCTTCACTGCACATGCGCACGCTTCCTGCCAGCCAGCTGATTTTCGGGTCTGCCCTGCGAGCGGGAGACTTCTGCGAATGCGCAGGGGACCTACCTTTCTCCTCACTTTCTGCTGCCTGTGCCTTCCCAGATCTCCAGAGATTCCCTTCCCAGCGCTGTTTTGGGAGGCAAGGCTTTTTCCCCCCTCCCAGCCGTTTTGGGAAGGGAGGCTTTTCCCTCCTTCCCAGCCATTTTGGGAGGCAAGGCTTCCCCCCCCCAACCGTTTTGGGAGGCAAGGCTTTTTTCCCCCTCCCAGCTGTTTTGGGAGGCAAGGCTCCCCCCCCTGCCAGCAGTTTTGGGAAGCAAGGCTTCCCCCACCCCCAGCACTGTTTTGGGATGTGAGGCCAAAAGGGGTGGTTGCATGCGCATGCACGGGGGAAGGGAGGGGGGTCAGGCGCCCATGTGCATGTGGTCATGCGCGCATGTGCAGGGGGCAGGGCGTGCAGGAGAGGCATTGCATTATGGGTGTGGGCACATGCTTTTGGCACCCAAGGAAAAAAAGTTTAGCCATCACTGGTCTATAAATTCAAGCTGTACTGTGTAAGAATGTGATACCATAATTATGTACTTATATACTTTTATTGTTTAACTCCCTAGAGTCAGAAATTATTTTCAGAAATTTCATATTTGTTTCATTACAAGTTTCAGATAGTGTGGACTGCATGGTTAAATAGTTCTATTCCCACTTTTTGGTTCTTAATTGAAAAATCATAAACATTTGCTTTAAAAATTAACATTTGTCTCTCATTTCTTCATTATTTTTAAATTTAAATTTTAAATTCCTTCAACTTATTGTTGAAGGAACAGTTATTTAGTAAAACAAATATTTTGTAATTTTGGATGATTACTTAAATAGTGATCTATATTACCAATACTCCATCCATCATTGGTAGATTTTGATACTTGGCATAGATTTATATTTCAGACAGAAAATATTCAAATAATTTTGTAATGTAGCCTTGTCTTTCGTAATCCTAATTTCTTCTTCTAGGGTTTGAAACAAAACTTCAGACAGGAATCCTTGGCACCTGACACAATGGAGACGGAAAGTGAGCAGAATTCAAATTCAGCCAGTGGCAGCTCAGGCTCTGGTGGAAGCACTCGCCCTCAGATATCACAAATGACACTCTATGAGCGGCAGGCAGTGCAGGTGAGGATTAATCTTTATTCTTTAGAAATGTAATTGTGGCATATATCAAGTTTGTTTTCATTCTGAGGAGGTTAGCCAAGGAAAAAATATGGTTCAAGAGAGTGGAATTCGACAATGGGCTTCAACTCCTGCATGCTAATATGACAGAACAAAAACTCAGATTAATATTTTGTTTTAGATTAAGCAGTCCTTCCTTTTCTCAGAGCAGTTCCTCATTTACTCCAGTAGTCCATGGTCTTTCCAGCTGGTAGCCTTTGCTTTGGGGATAACTGAAATAAATATTAGATAACTTTTTTACTTTTGTTCTTCTTAGATAAGAAATGGTGAATGTATGATGAGATGAGGCATTATTCTCAATGGCCAATGCTGGGTAACGCTAAGGCCCTCTGGCTTTTAAATCACTTCAATATGCTGTTTGACCAGGACAGAGGTAATATGAGATTGATGGAAGAAAAGACACTGAACTATGGGAGTTGCATGTTGCTCCATGACCAATAGGCGTTTGCTCCAAAAGTCCATATGGACTGGTGAAAAATTTACTAATATGATTAAGGCAATATAGTCTACACAAACTGCAAAGGTCATGGTTAATGGGGACATGATAGAGAATTTTAATGTAAGGAAAGGCACAAGACAAGGCCCGTGTCCCCTCTACTATTTATATTAACATTTGAACTGTTAAATAGAAACACTTATATATTTAAGTGTTAGTACACTTATGTATTTAACATGTAAGTGTTAGATAGACAAGATTCAGAAATGAAAGGCATGGAAATAAAAAAAGAAAAATACAAACTACAGGTGTTTGCAGATGAACTGGTATTTATTCTAGAACAGTGGTTCTCAACCTGTGGGTCGCGACCCCTTTGGGGGTCGAACAACCCTTTCACAGGGGTCGCCTAAGACCATCGGAAAACACATATGGTTTTAGGAATAATTTTCTGGTTGGGGGTCACCACAACATGAGGAACTGTATTAAAGGGTCGCGGCATTAGGAAGATTGAGACCCACTGTTCTAGAAGAACTGCCAGAAACTGGACCCAAATTAATAAAAAAATAATAATAGAAGAATATGGTGAAATTGCAGGATTGAAAATAAATAAAGAGAAAACCAAGATACTATCAAAAATCTTACAGATAAACAGAAAAAGAATTTATGAAGAAGACAAATATTCAGATAGTTAAGAAGTAAAATACTTAGGAATTCAATTAACAGCAAGATGTGCAGCTATTAAAGAAGATAATTATACTCAGCTAATGCAACAAATTAAACTAGATCTGGAGAAGTGGAAAAACTTGCAATTATCGATGGTAGGAAGAATAGCTGCAATAAAAATGAATATCTTGCTGAGATTATTATTTTTGTTCCAAACAATTCCGATAAAGTTAGAAAAAAAATACTTTGAGGAGCTAAATAAAATGATGTTAAAATATATCTGGCAAGGGAAAAGAGCAAGAATAAGATTGAAAATGTTACAAGACTCTAAAAACAAAGGAGGTTTTGGGTTGCCAGATTGGGAGCTATATTACCAGGCTTCTGTAGTTACATGGGTAAAAGAATGGATAAATTTGAGGCATAAAAGATTATTAACCTTGGAGGGATATGATCTTCAATTGGGGTGGCATGCCTTTCTATGGTATGGGAAAAACAAAATATATAGATATTTCCAAAGACATTATGTCAGAAATGCTTTGCTATTAGTATGGGGAAAAATCAAAGGAAAACATTATATGAAAATACCAGTCTGGCTCTCCATGATGGAGGCACCGATACATCCGAACGCTGTTAACCTGGAAAAAATTACAAGATACAAAGACATTTTGAATGAAAAAGGGGAACTTAAAACTAAGCAAATATTGAAAAAGGGATTTGTAGGATTATTGTCAATGGAATTAATGCAATGTTGAACAGTAGTGGTGAAAGTGAGCCCCCTGGAAGATTCCTCATCTGATGTTGACTTCACTAATGTTCTCCCCATTTGCTGTTAGAACTGTTTTCCATTTTTACATATTTGCTTTCAAAAATGTACAAATATTTTTGCTGATTCCAAAATTACTCCAAAATTATTATTATTATTAGATTATCAATGATATGAATATTATTATTATTACTATTATTATTTTTCAAAACTGACTGTACTCAGACAACAACACTGTTCATGTAGATATTGAGTTTTTATGTTTACTAAAGAAAAATGTATAAATAAAATATATATAAAAAAATAGTTTTTTTTTCTGCCAAACAGTATAATTCTGGAAGATCAGCTTAACATGTACTAAATATAGCATATAAGAATTGATTATTTCTTTGAAACAATAGACCCCTTTTCCTTCATAAAGGAAGTGATAGTCTCGCTGTGAAAGATGAAGAACTCTGGGATAACTTCTCATTTTCTAAAAGATAGTATTGCTTCTTACCTTAAAATAGTCAGTTTGATCTAGAGATTAAGGCATCAGGCTAGAAACCAGTAACTCTGAGATTTAGTCCCTCCTTGGGCATGAAAGCCAGCTAAGTGACTTTGGGCACTCTCTTTCATCCCACCACACAAAGTTGTTATTGGGGGATGGGGAATAGGAAGAAGGAGAATTAGATATGTTTGCCGCCATGAGTTACTTATAAAGTAATACTGATGGAATGATTTTTTTTAAAAAAAATATGCATCTCCCAGTAAATTTAAAGCAAACTATAAGCCAAAAGTTGTGTTTTGCTTTGCATTATAGTCTACTGTGGGAAATGTTAGTGAGGGAGCTAAAAGAAAATTGGGGTGAGGCCAGACATAGTCTCTGGATTGCTTATGGGCTACTGTTGAAAATGTTATAATTCTGGTCTAGTTGCATTCTCCATTGTAAATAAGATCTTGAAATTATTATCTTTTTTAAAAATAGTTTTTATTATGCATTTTCCTTTGATATGCATAATGTTTCCATTTCTGCAATGGCAGTGTACTGTCTGTATCACATCTCTTTTAAATACACATAGTTTCATACACACCATAATTATAACCATTTTTCTCATAATATGAAAATAATACATACAATGTAATCTTCCTTTCTAATTGCCCTATACAATTTAATCTATAATCCAGTAATAATATTGCTTATGGTATTGTTGTTTATATATATATAAACAATATAAAATTATTTATATATATATACACCCACACACGCACACTTCTATTTTATTGATTATCCTTAATTATAAATTACTAACTTCTGCTTCTATTCTCTTAACCATTTATAAATAAGACCCAAGTTAAATAGTACTCTGTTCCCTCTTTGTTCTTAATTTTCATGGTTAACCTGTCCATTTCGGCACAGTCTAATATTTCCTTTATTACATTTTCATCTATAGGTATATTTCCATTTTTCCATTTTTCCAATTTTGTGCGTACATAATTCTCGCTGCTGTTATCACATGTAATATTGTATAAGTAGTTTTTTTATTATATTTTCCCAGTAATATACCTAGCAAGAACAATTCTGGTTTTAAATCTATTTGTTGTGTTGTCATTTCTTCTAACCACCTTTTGATCTTTAACCAATATTTTTTTGCCATTGGACAGGTCCACCACATTTGGTAAAAGGAACCCGGTATCTGTTTACATTTCCAGCACGTTGGCAATATGTTTTGGAACATCTTTGCCATCCTTGCTGGTGGCAAATGCCATCTGTAGAACATTTTGTAAAGGCTTTCTTTATATGTTGTTGACATTGTTAGTTTGTAGTTTCTTTCCGAAAGTTTTTACCAATTGTCTAATTCTATATTATATCCAAAAATTTTGGCCCATGCTATCATGGTTTCTTTTACATGTTGTTCTTCCATTTTAAAATTCAATAAGTAGCTATATATTTTCTTTATTAGCTTATCATCTGTCCCTAGAAATATCTGATCTAGTTCTAGGGATTCTTTATAGAATCCATATATTTCTGCATCTTTCTTGTATTATTTATTTATTTATTTATTTTTATTTATTTATTAATTTTATTTTTATACCGCCCTTCTCCCGAAGGACTCAGGGCGGTGTACAGCCTGATTAAAAACACAAAGACAGACAAAATTTAAAAATAATTAAAATTATTAAATAATTGGCTCAATTATAAAACCCCAAATTTAAAATCCCAAATTTAAAACCAATTAAAATCTTTACATTGATAGCCCGGCCTGGCGGAACAACAAGGTTTTGAGGGCACAGCGAAATACACGGAGATCGGAGATCTTACGCATTTCTGGGGGCAGTTCATTCCAAAGGGCAGGGGCTCCCACAGAGAAGGCCCTCCCCCTGGGTGTCGCCAGCCGACATAATGTGGCCGATGGCACCCTGAGGAGACCCTCTCTGTGGGAGCGGACTGGCCGGTGGGAGGCTACTGGTGGCAGAAGACGGTCTCGAAGGTGCCCAGGTCCAATGCCATGGAGCGCTTTAAAGGTGGTAACCAACACCTTGAATCGCACCCGGAAGACCACTGGGAGCCAGTGCAGCTCGCGCAGGAGGGGTATCACTTGGCACAACGAGTTGCGCCCATAACCACCCGCACGGCCGCATTCTGGACCAGTTGGAGCCTCCGGGTGCTTTTCAAGGGGAGCCCCAGGTACAGAGCATTACAGTAGTCCAGTCGGGAGGTGACAAGGGCGTGAGTGACTGTGCACAAGGCGTCACGATCCAGAAAGGGCTGCAACTGGCGAACCAAGCGAACCTGATAAAAAGCCCCCCTGGCCACGGCCGTCATATGTTCTTCTAAAGACAGCCGTGCATCCAGGAGGACGCCCAGATTGCGATTGTATCTCGTTTGTATTTGGATATATGGCCACCAGTCCAAATCAATTCCTTGATTTTTTAGTTAGTGTTTCAATTTTAAGTCCCCTTGTTCATTTAGGATATCTTTATACCTTAGGATTTTTTCCAAGAGCATTTGGATGTATTAGCGCTTCCATCGTGGATAGCCAGACTGGTATTTTCATGTAATGTTTCTGTTTGATTTTTTCCCATATTGAGAGCAGAGCA